TTAGAAGAATGCAGAGAAGACATACAAAACAATTAACTTTCTAGGTTTACAATGGACTTCAACTAAACCCCAGAACATGCAAATCACACTACCTATGAACTTTGAACTGAATCAAACTCAAAGCCAACGGAAGAACAATTTTAGGTTTCCTAACTTGGTAGTGAAAAGGCAGGTCACAGAAATGACAGTGAACTGTCATGGTTGTGTACTGCAGTACACAACCTTCTTTTAGCAAGGATATCCTCTCTGAAGCAGGAACTCAGCTGAGTAAAAACTCAAAGCAATCATTATGGGTGAGTCAGAAAGAGGGTTGCTGTGTAAGAGGACTGCATGCTGAATTAAATGACAGCTGCAAAAGCAGCCACCCTCAAAACCTGCCTTGATGGTCTCTTTAGAAATTCTGTGGTGGTAGTGAAAGGTCATGTACAAACCAGAGAGATGGGGTGGGGCAGGAGAAAAGATGTGGAATAAAACACAGAGTAAGTTAAATACCAGATTGGCACTGCAGCCTTCTTTAAATGCTCCCAAAACTAGGTGGATGAAGCAAAGTTCCAATGCATGCCTGAAAAAACAGTTGTAAGAACAGGACTACAGATTCTTTAGAAACTGCAGAAACATGGAGTAGTGGGAATCCAGAAAATACTCTATTCTTAAAGAGAAAAAGAGGCAAAAAGATGCTAATATTCAAGAGATCATAGGAGACTTTAAAGCAACAGAGCAGGTGAAGAAACATCAGATGGATAAGAGCACATTCTCTCATTTCCATTAGGAATGGAATCACAGAAACTATATCTAATATGATAGTGCCCTGAAGTTCTAAAAATTCAATTGAGTATTCAATCATTTTAAGTCAGTCAAGTGCAGTCTGACTCACAAACACCCATATGTAGAAAACCCCAAACATTTATATACAGCTTGGCATAAATGCTGCAGCACAAGATGTAAAGCCCAGATGTCTGCTTTTAATCAAGGACAGTGACAAAACAGACATACCAGAATAATGATGGAAGTAAGATAAAAAAGATACTGATACAAAATACATAGAAGAGTCATAAAAATAAATATCAACATATTAAATCATCCAATCAAACACAGATTGAATTTCCAAACCTAGCAAGGTAAACTGTGTTATTAGATGATATTGGTACTCACACCTTTAAGATGGATATGTATAGCCATAGCTATGACATCTGAGATGTCTAAGGCCAGCAATGTAACTGTGATGACAGACAGCAATCATGAGTATGTTGGATAAATGTCACACTGAAGAGGCCAAGACCACTGTTTTAATATATTCTTTTTCATGCAACTGATCAGGGCAACCCAGCTCTGGCTGTGGTCACCCCAGTTGTACACAGCCTGAGCCAAAATGCTACTTTTGAATAGTGATTTTTTTTTTAATGGTGACTTTTATTTCTGCATTTATTTCACTTTTATTTCTATTGACCAAGTTTATTAATAAAGACAGAAGTCCACTACCACAGACTTCCATAAAAAATAAGCAACATATAATAAAATATTTAAATTAAGCCAAAAAGACAAGTCAAAATTAAGATGCAGCCCAATAACAACACCAAGATTGAATGTATTGAACTTCAGTACAACGATTTTAAATACACACATCAAATTACAATTTTTGTGGAGAGGGGGAAGCTCCTAGCACTTAAACATCAACCTTTGTAAAACCAGCAATCTAGCTTTAGGAGTCAAATTTAATCAGTCAATGAATGTAACATTTACAGCCAGATCGAGTTCAGAATAATAATCTGCAAAAGTGCACTGGCACCTCAGGAACAGAAACTGTGCCTGTAGAAGGCAAGCAGATGATCAAATAAAAAGCAAAGTGCTCAGGGAAGGAAAACCCACTGAGGAAAAAAATCCTTAGTCTCTGAACAAATCCCTATGATCAGTTTTTGGTACCATGGAGGAACTCGAGGAGAACTTCTGGAGGCACCTTGTTGAAGGTTTTACTCCTTCCTTTACACTGGGAGAGGTTACAGAGGAAAGAGTGACAAAGAGGAAAGATGAGGCTTTCACTCCCCAGTTCTAACAGAAACCAAGTAACTGCAGTGGGAAACTTCTGAGTGAAACCTGCCTCAAGTGACCGGAAGCTGGCAAACGTGACAGCAAGTTCTTGTGATTTTAGTGGGTGGGAAGAACCACTTGTTTTTTGAGAGGAGATTCCAGAGGGATACAGGGAATTAAAGCCTAAATATATTTTTCTGTACATAGCAAAGTGCCAGAAATTGTTCTAAAGCCAAGAAAACAACAGGATAAACATACAGAGTTGCTTTTGCAAATGAAAGTCATGTTTGATAAACATTTTAGAGTTCTTCTAAAGAAGAACTTAAAAGAGATGAGAGTATGGAGATCTAATAATGGTGCATACTTGAAATTCTAAAAGGCATCTGACACAGTCCCTTGCCAAAAACTATTAAAGATGCTGTGCTGCCAAAAGAAGTTGTCATATCAGTACATTGTTTAAAGATAGAAGACAAAGGGTATGAATCAGCAGTTGTTCTGCAGTGCCAATAAAACACCACAGTTCCTCTGTTGGGGCAGGCAAAGTACAATCTATTTCTAAGGGTTCTGAGACAGCAGTTTCTGAATGCCACAGTGTGTTCCAGTAACACTAAGTTAAAGTCCCAAAGAGATTAAGGAATTAAAAAATAGCAGAATGATTTCACCGAGGAAATAGGGGTTAAAACCAGTAAACCAAACTCACTGCAGATATTTGAGAACAATTCATGCTGAAAAAAATACAAAAATTCAGACTTTTGTACATATATATGGAAATGAACTCCAAGTTGACCATTAATTACACAGGACTGAGTTACTGTTCTGAAAATAAAAGTGCAAAGGTTAGGAAAAAGCAAAACACGTAGCCATCATTTTTGGAAACAGTATAAAACAAAACATAAAATAATTTAATTTTTTTAAATAGATCCACAGTGAATTCTGCAAGAAGTTCTACCTAGTGCTCCATCCTTGAAAAACTGGAAGAGTAAAGCAAAGACAATTTAAGATACAAAAGAGCTCTCCAGCAACAAGTAATTAAAAGAAATATGACTCTTCAGTACGAAACAGAAACAACTAAGGCAGGCAGGATAAGATAAGAAGTCTACAAATTCAAAAGCAACACAGAGAGAGCACCTGAAGGCTGTTTCTAATGCCTGCAGGCCTCAACCAGAGCTGCACAGTGGTGGGTTCAAATATCCCAGTCACAAACTGCTGGAGGTACCAGAGTCTTCTAAGGAGACACACACCTGATCTGTTACCTACCCTGCACAGTCCCTACATCCCCTGTGCAAGACATCACACCAGGCCAGACAGATCCAGCATTATGTTAACCAGTTTTCTGTTCTAATTTACCAGTTCAAAGAAAAGGGGGGGGTGGGAGGAGGGAAGCTTTTTAAAAGTATGATTTAAAGCTACCAACACTTCAGTCTGGCCCTATGGCAACAGTAATAATAAAAACATAGTATGTACTGGAACTTTTTGAGGAAATTACTCTGTGGGGCATGCTGAGATTCTTCATTATTTCAGGTTTTAATTGCAAATATAAACTAAAAATTCAATTGCTAATAACTATTTAACAACTCCCTTACCCTCCAAAAAAAAGGGATAATAATAATTAGGGTCAGAACTTACTAAAAGAAAATTATTTCTAGTTTCTTAGGTTTGGCTTTTGGTCAAGAAATGTCACACAGGGTTTGTTTGTAAAATACCAAGGGCAGGTATGGGCAGCAGCCAAGTCACTGACATATTCCTACTTGACTAGTGAAAATGTACCAGCTGTCCTTCCTCACCTTCAGTGCCCTTGGAAAAAATTCACATCATCTCTGGCCAACTCCTTCTATCAAGGAAAAACATAATTAGCAATTATATTCTTGGTGCAAAGACACATATGACACGTAACAGCGATAACAGGAAGATAAGGACTCCTGGAAGGATTACTTCTGGGTATTTTATATTCCAAAATGAGTAGCACAACCAACTGTAAAATCTCCTGATCATACAAGTACTCCTTGTATTATTTCTCAATACATACCTGCAAGAAGCTTGAAGATGTATTGTTTTCTGGCACAAAGACAAAATTTCTCAGCTGCACAAAGGAAGAAAACCTCCAACTTTAAAGACACAGTTATCATCAGTGAGATCTCTTATTTTTGTATTGTGGTGTGTGCCAAGATGGAAAGTAATTTCAAAAGCTGAATCAACATCTGGATCATGATGCAATGAACACCAGAGCTAAGAAGTGAAGGTCCTGAACCACATTCATAGTTTTTTTCAGAGACAATAAAAACATCAATTATCAAAAATTACTCAAGCTCAATAGAAAAGCCTGAGGTCAAACATTTGGTAAGTTTTCAGCAAGACAGGAAAACTCAGAATCATTTACAGCAGAAAAATTACTGTGCTTCAAAAGCTGCTTTGAATAAAATAAATGGCCATTTTATTGACTATACATACATATGAGGGAGCATCAACTTAAGAGCTGAACTGAGTGCTCATGAAGATACAGGGCAAAACACAAAACACCTTGACTTCATGCTCTGGAAGTGATACATGTTCTAAACATCTACTGAGTCCTTGCAGTGTCTTACAGAGCAAGGTCTGCAGCTGCAGTGTTCAGCAGTGCATGTGCAGCTCAAGCTGAGAGTATGACAGGATTAGCAGCTCCAGTTCTGTAGCAATCCTCCAATGGGCACACACCAGAGTCCCTGGATTGAGTGAGTGCTGGACATACATTCAGGAATGGAATCAAGTAGGCTTTGTCTTTATAAAAACACATTGCATATAATTAAAGCTTCTAAAGGCAATTCAGGTATGCTGAAGATCTAGAAGTTCCTAGCTTTGTAGTGTGAGGTACAAACAAACAAAGCTCAAAGGAAACTCCTTGCTACTTTGTAGGGACTAACTGATAAGAATGCAAAACTATGCAGTTCACAATCTTTGCCCTACTTGAAAAACTTGATGCAATCATACCTGCCACCCAATAAACATATCTCTGCACTTTATTAACCTTTGTGTAACATGATAATTCAAATAAAATCTCATTCTATCCCAAATTAGCAAACAGGACTTTATAAAAATACAGTGCTTTAAAAACATATCAACACATTATTAAAGCTATCATTGTATCAAAACCAGATCTTTTTTCAAATTGTTTCATACACAGACTTTGTAATACCAAACAGACTCTTTCAGGCAGCTAAACACACACATTGCACCTCACTGCTGCTGAATTTCTCCTCTGACTAAAAAAGACCAAGTCAATTATGTACATCAATCTTCAAACGATTTCCAACCCTCTCCCTTTATTTAGAATATATTTATATATTACCATCATGACATTGAAGCAGGCATTTATTCAAGGCAGTACTTAGGTCATAAGCTGCAAGCCTCCATCTACAACCAGAACACTCCCTGTAATATATGGGGATTCTAGAAGAAAGACAACAGCTTGTGCAACTTCATGAGGCTCTCCAAATCTTCCAAGGGGAATTGATTTCTTCAGCTGATCTTCTTCCAAATGAGCTGTCATCTCTGTGTGAATAAAGCCTAAGAGCAGAGAGATATATGAAGAGTTACCTAACCTTCAACTAAATTTATCTAGTGGATTTCCCACTGAATCTTACAAAGTGAAATCTATTACCAGGATTCAGCACCAGCTACCATTCTTCAAAGTCTCCCAAAGAAGCCCACATCATTTGATGGCCAAAACCACTTTCTTATCTAACCAATAAAATACTTTTCATTTTTGGAAGCAATGATGCAATAACCAAAACGCAGAGATCTATAGAAGTCCGTTTAAAAAACCCAAACAAAATCAAACAAGAATGGGTAACTAAAATTCAATCCAAAAACTATATTTAATATCACTTTTCTAAAAGAAAAAATATACTCATTACATCAAAATGTTCTCAATTAAAATATGAGCACAAAATGTCTGGCAAGAAACCCTCTCTGACTTTAAAGTGTTTGCATTCTATTTTAGAACTTATGGCAGTTCTTGCATAGTTTCTATTAGAGCACTCATTTGAAGAATATTTCTTGACATTTTTGAAGGACCTTTTTTACAGTTTTTCATTATCTGAGATTTGGCTTTCCCACTGCTGCACAACTCTACACAAAAGCTGCAGCTTTATAAAGAGCTGATCTTACCTGCTTTCTAGCTGCCATCAAGAAGGGAAAGACTCCCTTTTGCTTTCTACTGTAATACTCTGCCCCTTTATGATGGCTGTGGATGAGCTGCTCAACTCACTAAAGAATAAAAGTATTTTTCCTGCCTAGTTCACAAGCTGAACAGGTTCACGTAGAATTCTGAAAGGCATCAGAGGTAGCAGAAGGTGAGCAGCAGTGTACACAGTTATGAGTGGAAAAATTCAGAAAATATAGAAGGGGTTTTTCCTTAAGGGTGGCAGTTTGCTTGAACTAGATCATCTTACAAAATCACAGCCTTTGCTCACAGAAAAAACTTTCAGGACTTCCTCCTTTTACTACAGGGAGATAGGGGTGCTTTTATGACAGCTTTCTTATGGTCTGTCATGTTTCTGTAATAACAAACAAGCATCCTCTAGCTGGAGACAAGGGTAGCTCTCTGTCTCTAATTAGATCTAATCCTTCCATCTGCAAGGACAGCAAGTTCTGAAGAAGGATCAAAGAAAAAAAAACACATTCATTATGTAATAATGGATAGAGGAATAGGTAGATTCACTCTTCCAAATTTCTTGGTGTTCCCTTGAAAAGACTGAAGGTTTTCTAAAAGAATGTATTATACTTCAAACAAACAAAATACATTAAAAATATTTACTTACAAAGCTGAAGAAAATAATAGAAATTAGTCTAAAGTTACTTTCAGAGTACAAGAAATATCCACAGTCTTAATGAATTGCAACAGTCAAGGATGCAGGAATTTCTCAAGAACTAACCTGGAGCAACAACATTGACTCGAATTTGCTTTTTTGCTACTTCTTTGGCAAGAGAGCGTGAAAATCCAACTAATCCTGCTTTGGTAGCACTATAAACACTTTGACCAGGGTTGCCTTTAAGTCCTACAATACTCCCTAAAATAAAGAAACATCAAAGAGAAGATTAAATGGGTAACTTGAAACATTGTACTCACTTTATCATTTTAGTTTTAAACTTGGAATGAAAAATGACATCACAAGAAGAGTAAAATATGCATGACCTTATGCACTTTAGCCTGCTAGGATAAGCAAATGTCCCAATTAGTTATGATTTTTGTATAATTCATGTATCTATGTTGACCAACAAGCACAAGGAAAGTAAAATTAAGACTTTTCTAAAAAAAGTATCCTTGCCCACATTAAATAAATAAAGAAAGAAACTGACTAAATCTATCAATTCTTAGTTAATCGCCAGCAGCTGGTATATATAGATATTGAAAGAATTGGTAAGAATAGCAAAGTTTCTTTTTCAATAAAATATAAACTCTGAGGTGTTTATTACTGAAAAAAGCTATTTAGAAGTTGCTGAAATTACACAAAAGAATAAGCACTCATAAAGAAATGCTAAATATAGAATGTCTAAATCAAAAGGAAAACAAGTAAATTGTAACAAGCAATGTAATATGTTTCACCTGCTAAACATTTCTAGAAGACTAGTACACAGAACTCCACTGGCCTACACAAACAACTTACCTATATTGACAATAGCACCTCCCTGCTGCTGAATCATGACTTTTAGAGCAGCCTTGCATGTCAACATTGTTCCCAAAAGGTTCGTGTGAATCTGGGCTATCATATCTTCAGTCTTGGTTCTCAGTAGCAAACCATCCCTGACAAACAAACCAAAAAAACCCCAAAGAATTCAGTGAACAACCCCCGATCATGTTTACTCATAAAAAAAGACAGTTGGACAGAATATTAATGGGGTGTATGTGGTTCCATACATTTGAGCATTCAAAATGACAATGCTGCAAGAACTACACACAGCAAAAAACAAGTTAGCCATGCTTCTAGACACAGAACCTCCTTTGCAGAGTGGTATCAAGCACTGTTTTGGACCATTCTGAGAAAAAGTAGAAGAACAGAGGGGGAAGTCAAACTCAGAATGCAGAAACTACAGTGAAAGCTGTATCATCTGTTAGCATTTTACTGCCATCAGAAACAAAATATTGGCAAGGACTTAATATTATTTTCAGATGTGCTCATTAACAACACTCTTACTAAGCACAAAGGGCCAGAGCACCTTACAGTGGGCTGCCTGCATCTAGAATTACCTATTGTCTTGTCAGGAGCAACCAACCTGTTGATCCCAGCTGCATTAACCAAGTAGTTAATAGGACCCAAATTCCTCTGCACCTCCTCAAAAGCCTTTTGGACTTCTTGTTCACTGGATACATCACAGCTAAGTGCCAGATGTCCTGCTGTATTGAAATATATGTAATGTCACAATAAAAGCTGTATTTAATTCATAAACCTCCTTCAGAATGTATCAGCTCAGTTGCAAAACAGATGTTGAACTAGTTATAATTTAAGGAACCTATTTAATCCCCAGGTAATTAAATAAAGACGATTTTCAAGTATAGTATTCATTAGTTATGTGACAATTCCTTGTTTTATATTTTTTGCCTTTTGGAGTCAGAAGTTCAGTGTGAGCAGACTGGTCTCAATTCTGGCTTCTTCAGGAGCTGAGGATGACTCATTTCACACCACCTCTATTGTGACCCCCAAACAATTCCATTCATCTTAAAATTGCCATCATGCAGATAAAAAAGGTAATCTACTTTCTCGAGGACTATTGTGAAAACAGAATCGGAGCAATTTTAATAGTTTTTAATGTTCCTCAGCCTTTATTTTCCTTTCCATCTAGTTAAACAAGGAGGGAGCAGTGAGGGGTGCACAGCAGCATACGTACCACCAAGGTGACGGGCAGTGCTCTGGGCCACGTCCAGGTTCCTGGCAAGGATGGCCAGGCGGCAGCCCTTCTGCGCCAGGAGCTCTGCCACAGCTCTGCCTATCCCACGGGATCCTCCAAAAACAGCACACACCTTGCCCATCTTCAAAAGAATCCAGACACTGCAAATAAACCATCAACTTCGTGTCCAGTAGAGCAAGACATTAACTGCTGTTCTTATCAACATCACAGCCTTTACCTGTTTGCAGCAGTTTGTAATAGCAGGCTACAGAATTAGTGATTTGGTTTTTATCCATTCATTTGTATTCTTTTTTTTATTCAAAATAAACAGCTGAACTAAATTAGACACCACCTCTAAAAGGAAAGTTAATTCTTAAATATTTATGAAGTATTAAAAAAAATTTCAAAATCATGCACATAATCTAGCATTTCAATACTAGACTTATGGCAACTCTTATTCAATTGATGAATTATGTGATTTATGTACCTAAAGACCATAATGTACTGTTCAGCTGCTTATTCAAAGCTGATGTACTGGTTGTAATTATATTGTTCTTGCAACCACTATTCTTGTGCTGAAATCATTTAGCCTCAAGGTCTCACTCCATCCAAAGTATCTGTGCTGGACACCACCAGTGCAAATGTTACTGAGTATGATTTCAAACTATTGTATTTACACTGGTTTAATACTGTCAGATTGTGTTTTACCACTAGCCTGGGGTTTTTTGTTTCTGCTTTTGAAGGCAGAAAAAAAGCTTTTTGAAATACGAAATTATTCTGAAGTAGCTAGCTTTGATGTTCAGAATGGAGTACACAAAGGAAGCACTTCTGTAGAATCATCTTTTATTCTGCAAGCTCTAGAAACCAATCAGCTGGTTTGGGATTTCCTGAGGAGACAGGGGCAGAATCAAGCAGTAACAATGAATCTTTTTTCCATACATTTGAATAAATCCTTTTTGAACCCAATTATACTGTCTTCATCCCGAGGCAACGAGTTTTATTATTTGTAGGAAAGTACTTCCTTTTGTTCTTAATTTGCTTTCTGATTAGATAATTCTATGCATTTCTCCTCATACCTTCCCCTCACTGTTTCACTCTCCACCTGTATCCTCTTTCAGGTCTATTCAGCTACTCCTACACATATGGAGCTATTCAATACATCACTAAGGAGTGTGCCAGTCCTTAGACCTTGCCCTTGGTCTCACTGAGCTCTATTAAACCCTTCTGGATGAGTGATAATCAGAAAAGCACATGGTACCAAGTGTGTCAGGCCACCACCAACTCATGCAGCGGCATGATGAGTTCGGTCTTCTGTGACAGAGTCTGAACAAGCAGACGGTCTGTCCTCTTCCCTAATTAAGTATTCACAAGTGCCTGAAGCCAACCCACGTGTCTGCCTTCCCTGGCAACTTCTCAGAGCAGAGAAAGCCCCTTGTGCATTAACCAGGCATTCACAGGCGGGGCCTACCTGCAACACAGTACATACAGTTTGTGCTTTAATACAGAAACGCCACACAGGCTCCCTGGAGCTGGGACTCGGGAGGGAAAAGCTGCAGCGGGAGTCATGCCCCGCTGCTCCCTGGATAAACAACGGAAGGGAAAACCAGCTGTACTTGGAGCAACAGGCACACGCAGGCACCTCTATCACCTTCGCTCTTCTTTCAGAACCAAACTACGTAACGCGGGACGCCGGGGCTCCGAGGGCACCACCCCACAGCGCCCGGCTGCCAGCCCAAGGAGGGCCCCTTAGGCAAGGGCGAGCGGGGTTCCCGCACCCGTGCCCAGCCCAGCCCGGCTTCTCCCTCCTTCCCTGTTCCGCCCGTAGGGCTGAGCTGGGCTCCCGCCCGGGCCCGGCTGCAGGTGGAGCCCTCGGCACGGACAGCAGGAAGCGGCGCCCGCGGGGCACGCCGGGACCGCAGTCAGCGCGCTGCCGGTGCCACGGTGGCAGCGGAGTCGCCCCGCGCCGTCCCTGCGTGTCCCCGCGGCCGCTCCGCGCTGTCCCTGCGTGTCCCCCCCCCGCCCCGAGACCGGCGCGGGCTGCGCCTGCCGCCCCGCCACGGGCACGGGAGCAGAACGTGAGGAGCGCGTCCCACGTGCGCTCCGGTACCTCCCGGCCGCCGGCTCGCTTCCCTCACGGAGAGCGGTTCCCTCCCCGGGCAGGCCGGTTCCGCTGCGCGCTGAGCGCAGGCGTCACGGCGAGCGGCCTGACGTCACCGCCGGGGCACCGGCCAGCGGGACCGGCGGCGGCTGAAGGAGCCGGGGCTGCGGGCCCGGGGCGCTCCCCCGCCTCTGCAGCCCGACGGGGCCCGGCCCGGCCCGGCCCGGCCCGGCCGCTGAGGGGCTCAGGCCTCAGCAGCCCGGCACACGAGAGGCCTCTGCTTTCACCTCACGCTTGCCGCTTTACAACTCCAATTTACAGCGTCCGGCCTGGAGCTGAAGCTCTGAGTCCTGCCCTTCTTACCCCCCTTCCTGCACAAAAATGTGCTTCATATAAAGATACAAACAATTAGATGAATCACGATTTTGTTTCTCTCATTTTCATGTATCCTTGCCCCGAAATCGGAAGGACCTTGTATGGGGTATCGCTGTAGCAGAAGAGTTAAATTTCAAACACGTTAAGGTAGATAAGCCCAAAATACAGAAGCATCTGTGAGAGTTCCTATTCAGGAACCAAAGCAAACTTCGTGATATGCAATTAAACTAATATTTAAAAAACTGTTATAACAGTAATGCTGTTTACAGTTATGAGCCATGTCTGATGATGTGCTGGAGGGGTTTCTGTGGACTCTCAATTAAGTCACACACGCTGAGTAAATTTACCCCCTCAGGAATACTAATAAAAGCTATGGCAATTTTGTACAAGAGTACACTTCAGATTTTTTTTTTTGAGAAAAATTATTATTATTATTAGTTATTTGTTATTATTATTAATATTTTCTGCAGAGTAATATGCTGAAATCCTACTGGAGTTTCTATGTGCAAACATACAGTTCTTGCTTTTGACTTGAAAGGTGTTTTTCAGGATTTCAGATTATATGTGTTTCAGGGGAGCTGTAGAGTATGTAATAACATTAGTTCTATGCATGTGGGATTCTTCTTCCACAGATTATTCTTTACATATAGAAAAAAAAGCAGATTTAGGCATGGCAAACAGGTGGGCATCTGTAAGAAAAATAAAATATTGAAGAAAAGCTATTATGAGAATTAGTTTCTTTTAGCAATTATATTTAGATTGCAAGTGGCTCTTTTCAAAAGAGTGAATGAGATTTTGTGATACAATGATGTTTCAGATCATGCCATATTCTGAAAGCCCGGAGGCCCCAGTGTTAAAGAAGAAAAGGCACTGACAGATGAGGCTGTGACTCAGAATAGTCTCTGACCAAGATTTCTGGTACCCAGCGTAATTAAGGACCAGGATAGCTTTTTCTTCAAGTAAAACTTATAAGCAAAGTAACACAGAGCGCAAAAAATGGTCCTTAGTGATTTTCTGAAGTTTTCTGAAGTTGTGTATACTACAGAGAAAATAAAATCTGCCTGCTGCTGTCCTTATACAATATGATGCTCATAGTTAACTGAAAAAAATTATAAGTAATTATGACTTTACCTTATTTCTGACCTGTGTCCTTAGCCATACAGCTGACCTACCCTTGTACGAAAGTTAAAGGTTCATCTGTCTTGTACTGTTAAGATTTTGCTGACACAGAGTAAGCATGAGTTTAGTGTGGGGGTTTTAAAGTGTGTTATAGTTGACAAAGTTAAATATCCTTTTCAAAAGTTCAGACAAGATTCTGTTTAATTCTTGTTCATTGACTTAGTGTTTAAAACCAGCTGTATGTTCATTGTTCATTCATTGGCCAAAGTAACATTAGCCTTTTTTTTTCCAGATGCCTGGTCAAATCATGAGATCAGATTAAGCAGAGTTCAGCTGAGCCAGTTTATTCACACTGATTTCCCAATAAAGCTAGTGGAGTGCAAGAGACAGATCAGTGTCATAATGATTACCTCCCCTTTTGGGGGAACAGTAGCTGATACAAGAACTTGATCTGATAGACCTGTTCCATCTATCATGACCAGATCTGTAACAGCTAGTTCAACACTGGTCATTATTATGCCTGCCTTACTATTAATGTGAACATACAAGCTGAGAATTCTTGTATGTCTGTCTGTGTGACCATGTATACACACACTTGGAGCCTGTCCACAATGTACAAAATGACACAGCTGTCTTTCCTCAAGCCTAAAGCAAAAATACTCTTCCTAAGAGAGTTATTTATTCCTTTCTAAAAGTTTTTAGTCATTCTCCCACACAACCAAGATACTGCTTTCAAGTAAGAATTTCTCTATTAACATGGGAAAAAAACAGAATAGCTCAAACAGGAAATTATATTTGATGTATCTAAAAGCACAAAACAAATCAGAGCAAAATAGCACAAAACAGGCCACTGTAACTGAGGTCCCCTCTATCAGGTATTTCAAATTCCTCCTGGGTTTTGATTTAAGGCAAGATTTACAGAGGAACTTGAGTCTAATCATTAACCACAGTGCTGCCTGAATCTGTGGCCTCTTAATTTTCTGCCAAGAGTCACACTTGAAAGAGCAATGCTGCTCCAATGTCCAGCAGCATTTCATTCTGTTCCCTGTGCTGCTTGTGAAATACCTCCCACATTACATGGGTTTTGTGTAAGGCCAGGGACAAAGCAACTTGGAGACCTGGCTGCACGTGTGCTCAGTCCTGTTGAAAACAAACACCTCTGGTTGGAGCACTCAGCCCTGAGAAAACCTGCTTTCAAATCTCCTCCCTTGCTGGAAACATGGTCACTAACTTCAGGTTTTCACCACTGAACAAGCTTGTCATAGCCAGCAGTCTGAAGTGGTTTCAGTTTATAGGAACAAGAACAAAAAATTAAAATGGGCCAAGAAGATTTGACACTCAAGCCAGATGATCACTGTCCAGAAATGTAAAACCTTGCGGATTAAGCATCAATTGAAATCAACATTCAAGAAACTATTTTGCTTTTCAACTGGTGTATTAAAGATGACCTCCCTAGCTTAAGCAAATCTGATGATGGGGACATGTATCTGGGATACAGGAGTCATGGGCTTAGAACAGAATTAAGCCAGGGAAGCTTAAGAGGTTTCTTTCTTTCCAGGTCAAATGATAACTCCATGGCAGGTCACACAGTCAACACAGGGCCATGCATTTCTTCCAGTAAAAAAAGGGGTGTAACTGGACTACGTGCCTTGTTTTACCTGATCATTTTCCACTTTGCCTGGGCAGCTCAGCAGTGAAGCTGCTGTCTCTTTTTTTTCCCCTTTCTTCAGGAATGCACTTGTCATTTAACTTGGGAAAAATCCAGTCTAGTTACTGATTTTATATATATACATGCTATACACACATACAAAATATATAAATAAAGAGCTAACAAGTTTTATGTTGCAAGTCTCAAATGTCTTTGATATGGCCTCAGCCTTCTAGGCAAGCAACATAAAGCTGAGATAAACTGCTGAGGGAAAATCCAACTGCCTTATTCTATGACAGAAAAAAAGCACCCATCTCCTCCCAGTATTTTGCCACTTGGCAGACTTTCCCCAGCCACAGCAGTTCAGATATTTAAGCAGCCAAATTGCCACACCTTTGCTCTTAAGGGATCTTTTTTTATGTCACTGCAGTCTGTTTTGTTTTTCTAGACCATGCAAAATCTCTGCAATGTTTGTTCTTGTGTGATAACAGTGAACTTTTATCATGCCAACATGAAATGGATTTATACAGTTTAGGTACATTTTCAAAAAATTGAAAACTTCTTCCTCTTAAAAAATTTCTTTCTGGTACCTCTGTGAAAAGTATAAAAGCTCTGTGAAAACTCTAAAAACAAAACACAGCACCAAAACCCAGAACAAAACAAAGCTATCAGAACCTTGGCAAATTACCTAATGTTTTCATATCCTCCTGGCTAAACAGGTTTTCCCACTAGGACCAGGATTATTTCACACGTCAGTGTGAGGCCCATGTTTGAGTTAGCACGGTCACTGAACTGCTGCTGCTGCTCCCAGTGAGCAGTCAGGCACACCAGGGAGGGAACAGAGAGGAGCCTGTATTATTGCTGCTTCATCTGCTGCTGAAATGGAGCACCTCACTTCAAGTGCTGCCCTGAGGAACCTGAAATGTTAAAATAAAACAACCTCAACGTCACCCACCCCTGCAAAACTGTGTTCAAGAAACATTTGTCTCACATTCAGCCTCTGTCCCCAAGTCCTGTCTGACCACAGACACTGGACACTCCCACTGTGTATCAGTGGACTTTGGACTAAAGAGATGGATCTCAGCATGTCCTGAAATCTCTTACTTCCCTCCACACATCCCACTCCTTCTGTATGCCACAGAATGTATCCCTTTGAGCTCCTAAGTCCCAAGCCAGGACGAGGAACAAGGAAGAAATAACCAGCTCATCCATCGAGGGAGTAAACTCCCCCCTTTCTGTACAGCACCTCTTTGACAGACAGTTTTTCAAAACTACAAAGTGCATCACACAGAGCAGTCAGCATCTCCCAGCAGGGCAATCTGAAAAACAGTCAAAGCTGACACCACGGAGTGACATGTCACTCCTAGCAGTCTCCACTGAGCTTTTTGTATAGAAAGGATATTTTTTTTTGTGTATTGCATATTTCATAAGCATTAAGAATATCACTGGAAGTCTGGTACAATAACATCCAAGAGTTTTGCAGAAGTATTTGAATACTCTAGAGTAAATAACTCTCCTCCTGTTCTCTTAGAGGCAATTTACTTTTAGTTATATCTAATATACCCAAAATGAATTAGTTTCAGGAACAGCACTTAAAAATAGCTAAAAACCATTTATAAGCATCTACTCAAGGTCTTGCATAATTTGCTTTTATTTTACATATGAACATCCTTAACTTCTCCATTTTGCCTTTCATAGTCTCATCCATATTCCCATTCACTACATATTTATATAAGCTGCAAAGTAAGATTCATAACAAATCATTTCAGGAATTAATTTATCTTGTAAAAATCTATGTTTAACTAATACTACAATTTCTGGTGAAAAAAAAAAGAGTATTTTTGAGAAGTATTCATCAGCAAAGGTTTTCACTCCAAAACATACAAAAAACTGCTCTC